CTCGTCCCGAGCTCCGGCCGACGCCCTCCCGGCCGACGACGGGGATTCCCTCGTCGCGGGCGACGCCCTCCCGGCCGGCGAGGACTGTCCAGCGGGCGGGGAGGAGTGCCGAGCGGGGGGAGGGGCGGCCGCGGCCGCAGAGGAGGCAGGCGTCTCCAAGATCGTCAGCTTCACGGCGGTGACGCTCACAGCTCCCGTCGTCGTCGTGGCAACCGCTGCGGCGAGAGAGATCGAGATGTTAGGACGATCGGACGAATCGCAAGGGCACGCCGCGACGGAATCGCGAACGGGGAAAAAACACAGACATAGAATCGAAGCGCACGCACGAGTAAGAGTCGTGCGGAGCTCCAGCCAATCGCTGCGACGGGGGCCATTCTAAAAGACGATTCGCAGTGACGAAGTGGTGTAAACTCGACGACTGGGCACGGAAACGGAAAACAACACGTATAAACTATGGTCTAGGTTCACAAGATGCTAGGAACCTAGTAACAATTTCGAGGGGGGTTTGTTGGGGGGGGGCGTAGGTAAATTGCTGCTAGTTTTGCCGGAGTGAATGTGCCTCGTGTGCGTAAACCAGTGATTAGACTTAGTAAATAGTAATTAACCAGTAATAAATAAATTACTACTCCTTTGGCAGTAACTTATTAGCAAAAAGTAAATTGAAAAAATGAAATGTGAACATTTATACGCGATAAATCTATAAAAATATATATTCCAAAAGCACACCGTCGTAGTAGCTAGCGTTACGTATACTGTCAGTCCTTTCGAAAAACATTTTGAGCCACTTGCCCTTCAGGCTGTCAGGCAAGTATTCTATAAAATGTACATGCCTGAACGACATTCTAGTTGTCAATATATTTTGCAAGGATATTTTTGGAATATCGAGTAAAGAAGTGTACACCAGAAAACTTATAGACGCCAATTTGTTTACGGTGTTACCACTTCGTGATTTTAAACTGAAAATCTTTGTTAACGGCCAGTTTCATTATATTTTATGCGTTGTTTAAAGCAGGAGCCCATCGGGCAAGTGAGCTTGCAATGTTTACATGCCCGCCGAGCTTTCTACGCATCTCGGGCGTTGGACCCCCCCGGCTAAATTCGAAGACTGTACTGTACAACGCCAGGCGTGTGTTTTTACAGTGATCTCGTCGCTGTGTGGTTTGCTTACCTGAATGCCCGACCTGGGATGTGGCGATGTGCGACGCCCCCTGGTGGTGTTTGCCCGTAGCTGCCTCGTGGCGATCGCCCGTCGAATCGTCCTTGGAAAACAAGCCGCTGAACGAAAGAGGATTCTACGTGAGACGCGCCGCAATGCGGACTCGAGACTGACTCGAGATGCAACCGTGACGCCGGGTGTTTTACTTACACGCCAGCGAGGCGTGGTCGAGTGGTCACTGCTGTACGCGTGTGGTGTCCATACGTGAGTGCGTGTGCACGAGGGTGTAAGTATGTATGCGAGCATGCGTGGGTGCGTGCGTGCGTGCGTGGGTATGTGCATGCGTGCGTGGGTGCGTGGGTATGTGCATGCGTGCGTGGGTGCGTGCGAGCGTGGGTGCGAGCGTGAGTCTGTGCGTACATGGGCGCGTGCGTGCGTGCGAGCGTGGGTGTATGCGTGGGTGCATGCGTGCGTGTGTATGCATGCGTGCGTGCGTGCGTGGGTATGTGCATGCGTGCGTGGGTGCGTGGGTATGTGCATGCGTGCGTGGGTGCGTGCGAGCGTGGGTGCGAGCGTGAGTCTGTGCGTAC